CACATCCTTCTAGTTGCTGTATGTGGGACTCGGCCTCAGGATGGACGGAGAAGTGGTGCCTCGATGCGCACCCGGGATCCGATCCCGGGCCACCAGCATTGCAGCGCGCGCACCCAACCACCAAGCCACAGGGCCGGCCCTGAGCAATGTCTTCTGAAGGCAAATGCCAAGTGTACTTAGACAGAGGCATTGGCATCCCTGGAGAAGAATCACTTCAATTACAAAGAAAAGCAAGATGTCACTGCATCTTTTTCAGAGCAAATGCTGACAAAATGAGGAATGCCAGTAAGGGTTTTCTTTCCCCACAAGAGAGCCACTTTCTGTGGGTGACTTACCTTCGGTTTCTCGCCAGAGTCTCCCACATCTGTCTCTAGGTAAAGTCTTCCTGGAGCCCTTCCTCTGCAAGGTTCCCTCGAGCCTTTTCCCATCACAGAACAAGAGTCTCTGTGGTTATCTGCGTCAAATCCTTGGGCTAACTGCCTTTGGCTCGCGGAGTTTAAAATGAGAAGGATGATAGGAGCCCTTGTACTCCTGGGTCACTGCGAGGAAAATGCCCTGCACCTGGATGGACTGAGGTTGTAAGAATCACCCAGGGATTTTGTTACACTGCAGCTGCCTGGAGCCCAGCACAGGTGACTCTGAAGCAGGTGGTCTTCGGGTTTTACTTAGATACAGAGCTTTGTATGCTTTACTGTGCCTAAGATCTATGGTAGGGGGAGAAGAAAGATCTTGTTAAAATGCAGATTCTGACTCAGTAGGTCTGGAGTGAGTATTAACCCCACCTGGGGTTTCTAACAAGCCCCCATAATGTGAACACTACTGGCCCACAGACCTTACTTTGAGAAACAAGGCTTTAAGAAACAGTGATGGGGACCTGCCCGGTGGCGCAGCGGTTAAGTGCACGCACTCCGCTCGGCGGCCCAGAGTTTGCAGGTTCGGATCCCGGGCGCACACCGACACACTGAGGCACCGCTTGTCAAGCCATGCTGTGGCGGCATCCCATATAAAGTAGAGGAAGATGGGCACGGATGTTAGCCCAGGGCCAATCTTCCTCAGCAAAAAAGAGGAGGATTGGCATCGGTTGTTAGCTCAGGGATGATCTTCCTCACAAAAAAAAAAAAAGAAACAGTGATGGAAGATCTTGCTGTTCAATGTGTGGTACCCATGCCAGCACCCTCACATCATCGGGGAACTTGTTGGAAATGCAGAATCTCAGGTCTCACCCCAGACCTACTGCATTGGAATCTACATTTTGTCAAGATTCCTGGATGAGTCTTATGCATGCACGTTAGTTTGAGAAGATGACATAGGAGAACGTCAGGATCAAATTCACAAAGAAGTGTTTTCTTTGTTTTCTGTAGAAAGTTAGATAGGGATAACAAAAAAGCACATCTTTTGATCCTAAGACATTTGAAACCCATACTAAAGGTAGGCTTGTATTAGAGGAGACAGAGTAACCTATTTAGAAACCAACTTCTTAAATCCCACCCCCTTCCCTACCAAAGGAAACCACTTACAACAAGAATTCAACTTTAGCGCCACAACTCTGAATGTGAACCACTACCGTATGCCGTCACCTTTCTCTGTTTTCATTTATTCTCTATGGTCATTACATTCACCAATTTGGGGACCCATGGATTACCATCGTTCTGAGAACAGGTGGTTTATGGTACAGGTGGATTGATAAAGCCGAGCACCTCAGTCAGAAGGTGAGGTGGAACCATTCTCTTAGACCTCTGTTACTCCTTGCAAAGATTCCAGCTGTGTTTGATGTTCAGCGAGCTCTGAAAAGGGCAGATGTCACCACTTCTATCAACTTGGTACCTAGCAAAGCATATGACACATTGTAAGGATAATTTAATCAATGCTGGTTGAAGATATTTATTTCAAGGTTTAAAGCAGTAACTTGTTAAAAAGTAGAGGCCAAAAGAAGATGTGCAGCTATTCACGTTTCCAGAAACCACAAAGAAAGGGGAAAACTGCCTTAAGTCAAAAAGAAACAAAACAAAATTTTAATTAGATAATCAGAATCTAACAGAATCTGGGATCATGTGGAGCCCCCCAAAAGCAGCTGGAATCAGTGAGATCCTACGTACAAGCTCTTTACTTCCTTCAATTTTGCTTTCTTGGGACTCTGTCGGGGGAAAATGCTTGCTACAGACAATTGCATGCATTTGTTGATCAATAGATCAAGGAACGGTCAAAGGAGATAGGGAACATCTAGGAAGGGGTGGTGCTGGCACTGACGAATGTGGACAGGGCCAATGCAAATATTGTGTTCAATTAGCATTTTGTGGACTGAGCAATTTCTGAAAACTATTTTCAAGTCATAGAATATAGAGGGAGCATCTGGCTCCATTTCTGGGAATATTTCTGACACCCCTGCCTCCTGCTCTTCAACCCGTCCCACTCAAACTCAATTTTCTTCCCTTTGTCATGCCAATCTTAATATCCTCCTTCCACCTTACTTGCTTCTTTGCCTGCATTAGGATTTTATGTTTTAGTAACAATGGTAATCTCTTAGTTGAGCTTCCTTACTGTGTACCAGGCACTTCACATGTCTCCTTTAATCCTCAAAAGCAACTATTTCTTGTTTACACATGAAATAACTGAAGCTCACAGAGGTGAAGAAACCTGCCCAAGGTCACAGAGCTGGAAGTGAAGGTTGTAGAATTCCATCCTATGTCCCATCAAAATCCACGCTCCTCTGGCTAAATCATTCTGTCCCTTGTTCTCTCCCTTCAATCTTATCTTTCCAGCCACCATGTTCTGGGTAGCTCTCACTCCCTAGAACCAGTTTGGAATAAGTACCCAAGGCTTTCATTTTGACCTCATTAACCAGACAGATAGCTCATCTCTCCACTGGGGTCCTCCCCTGTTGCAGGTACCCTCGCACACTCCATGGCCACAGCTTCACTGTTTTGTCATGTAGATTTTCTCTTGAAGGTTTTAAACGGATTTTGCATTCCAATATATATAAATACTGGAGCTTAGAAATTAAAGCCAAGTCCTTTGCCAATGTTTTCTTACGTTTAGAAAAATCAAGAAAAATAAGTTCAAGTCCCAAAGGATGGCCATAAACATGTTTATAAATGACATTTCTACCTTGGTCTATTTTGTTAAGCACCAAACTTTCTCTGTCCCATCATAGATGTCTATTGGTAATTCCAATACTCTTGAGCCATTTTGCCAAAACAATGACTAACAGCATATTTATTCAAGTATGATTCACTCTGTTCAACGTATAGACACAAACTCTGAATACAGAGAACTATGGAGAAGCATACGTTAAGAGCAGGTACATTTGCAGAGGATGCCACTCATATTTAGATGAAAGTCTCCTGTGCAATATTGTTTTTCACATTACACAATTACAAAGGAGGAAAGATTTTTGACTGAAAGCCAGCTGGGGGATAACTTGCCAAGCAAAACATTGAGGATCCAGTGCCAACATCTCTAGATAATTCTTCTCGGGGAAGAAGGGGAGACTTCCTGTGATGAATGAATATTTTGACTTGGTGATTAATCACAATTATACTGGAAGACCTGCCTGCATATTTCCTCCCACAAGATCCTATAGCACCCTCCTCGCTGCCACTAGCTGCAAAAGGGGTCCCCCCAAAATTGTTTTAATCGACTATATACCAGGAAATTGAACCAAATCTCCAGATGAGACATCTATAATAACAGTTCCTCCTAAAAAGAAGCCTGCAATCTCCTGTTTGTCTTTTAGCGTTGAGAAAAGGGCAGAACCTCCTCCCAAAGTCTTCAGTTTGGAAACATGGGTCTTTATGCTCATCACCGCTCGTTCACTCACTGAGCATCCTCGTGGTATTTTAGGGGATTTTTTTTTTAACCTAACTTCCTAACAATGTGTCCGTCTGTAAGAAGAGTTTACTTAAGTTCATTGATTCTCTTCTGGCAAGCTCACAGCTCCTGGATTTGGACAGACTAAACACTGTAAAGATTTCCTACACCAATTCAGAGGACATTCCCCGAAAATTCAGAAAGCTTTTCTTAAACTCCAGGAAAAACAAAAGAGGGAAGAAAAGAAGAAAAGAAGGAAGGAAAGAAGGAAGAAAGGAAGGACGATTGCTGAGAGAGAGGAAATAAATCATGGAGAATACGTATTTTCAAAACTGAGAGGACAAAACAATCCAACTAACATATATTAACCTTTATTCTATAACAGAGACATAAATAATTTTATGAATTCATATGACCCGTACAAAAGACAAAATAAGATATTGCACTAAGTTCAGATATGAGATATTTGGATTTAATATTTTTTTTTAAAGATTTTATTTATTTTATTTTTTCCCCCCAAAGCCCCAGTGGATAGTTGTGTGTCATAGCTGCACATCCTTCTAGTTGCTGTATGTGGGACTCGGCCTCAGGATGAATGGAGAAGTGGTGCCTCGATGCGCACCCGGGATCCGAACCCGGGCCGCCAGCATCGCAGCGCGCGCACTTAACCACCAAGCCACAGGGCCGGCCCTGGATTTAATATTAGCTAAACAGATAAATATATACAATTTAAGGAGTTAAGGCAAAACCAGATGATACTTCAAACACAACAGAAGGTTTGAAAAATAGGTATAATTAAAAACAAGGGTGTCCCATCTCCAGTTAATAAAGTGGTCATGTCTAAGGGAAAAAAAATCCCTTGGGTTTTTAATAAAGTGGTTATTATCAATCATGTTAATTAAAGTTGAGCAATAAAGTATAAGATTTCCTGCGGAGGGGCACTGTTTTGCCGAGGTTTGGGGATTGAGTAATTAGAACTCAAATAAGCAACTTTTTCCTTGTCAGATTTATGATCTATTCTTCCTATTAGAAAATATAATTTGGAAAATATGACTCTTTCACATATATAATTAAAATACAACTATGAAGCATTCTTTTTTTTTAAAGGAAGTCATGTTGGTGATCTCATAGACAGGGTAAATTTGCGGGCAAGCCATTCATTACCCTATTTGTAGAGAAGACACAAAGCCAGTCACTGAAAAACAATTCCCAGTTACCTTAAGAGACACAAAACAAACAAATTCCAAAGGAATACAAACAAGTGTAATCAATATATCAACACCGCATACAGTTCTTTGGCTGTTTCACACTAACCGTTGATTGAAGTCAGAACCTTTGAGTGTTCTAATTCCTAGACCAGTTGCCAGTCTCTCAAAAATAAATAAAATTCCACATCTGCAACAAATTCAGTAATTCCACGAAATTAAATTCAGAATAAACCTTGCAGACAGCTTTTAACTGTTACATTTAAGCATAGACAGGTGTTGTCTGGTGTGGGTCCCAATCCAAATATACTAAAACACACACACACAAAAAAATAATCTGTGAAACTCTGTACTAGTTCAGACAGGTGTAGAATCCTTAAAGAGAATCCATATTCACCCATGAGAAACCAATAAAAGACATCAATCCGATGACGAGAAAATGATCTTTCAATGACTCAGGGGTGGGCTGCCCCTCACCTGGATAAACATCACGGAGAAATGAAATTCTATAGGGGGAACACCAGAAAGCCAGAGAACGTGGAATACTGCCAGCCTCCGACCAAGTTACCTTTCTCCAGTTTTAGGTAAACCTTATCTTCTTTATCTAGGTAGAGTAGGACTCCATTAGTGGCAGCTTCTCGAGTAACATCTTTGTCCCCAGCGAAGGCAGATATTACTGGTTTTCCATTTAACATCAGGTTAACCTACAAGAAAGAAAACCACTGAAAATCTCTTTCAAGTCAAAACATCTACTGGGGATAATGAATGATATCTAAAATGAATGACCTCTAAAATATCAGATGTTCAGTAAATATTTTCCCTTCCTTTCAAATTAGCCAATTGAGGGGGCTAGACTCAGTCTACTGAGCTGATTTTTTTAAATTTTTTAAAAAAAATTTAAATTTCTCCGATAGAAATTTCCTTAAATGCCTACAAAAGAATACCATCCATGGAGAGGAACCTAGCCATGTGAAGACTGGCCGCCTTTCAGCACATAAATTAGGCTCACTACTTTATTTACGTCCTGTATTCAATAGCAATCTCTTGGGAATGAAGCAAGCCTGTGGCTTCCCAGTATATTAATAAAAAGAGACTCAGTGCCCTTTGCCCTGATAAACCCAGACACAGCAAGATTCTACCAACATCCTTGCAGGTTACTATGCAGTTGCGACATGCATAGTGCTGAAAATTATTTGAAATTATGAAATGTGTGTGTGTGTTGTGATTTCTTTTTCTGTTTTCCCTGATAAGAAATTTTGTGTTAAAAATAATAATTGCCACCACCACTGAAGATTTTAATGATGGATAATTAGCAAAGAATTAATAAACTCAAAATTATTAACAAATAGTAAACTCAAAATTTATTCACTTTCCTGCATACTACAATTTTGATTATATTGTGTTAAGCATTACATAAATTTCTAAATACTGGGGCTTGGGAAAAGCTTTTCCACAGTAGTAAATTTGTTTACTGGATATTCATTCCTTTTATGTTAAAAATAATACTGAATAGATTAAATCTGAGGCTGATCAATTTATCGATTCACTAGGATATGTATACAATACAATCATAGAACATAAGATAAAAAGTTATCCTAGAATCCCATAGACATGCATTGGCATTATTGGTGTTAGCATATTTGAATATTATAGGAACTAGCCCCATTGTTGCCTTTCAGTGCAAGATCAAGCCCGTTATCTTGGAAAGCACAACACAAACATATTCTTAAATATGGAATTGAAGTTGATAAGAAGTCACTAGCATCAGAGTGACTGAAGATAAACCATTTAACGCATTAGCATAGCACACCCTTTTTTTAAAAAATATATTGAATAATTGTTCCTTTATAAATTTCTTATTAATGATTAACTGTACCTCTTAATTTTTAACAATGCTAGCAAATTTGTTTTATTTATTTAGTATGCACTTGTAAAGCTCTGCTGGTCTTACAAGTTTTGTCCTCACAAGTTCAAATAATTTTTTCACATGCATTAAACGAAATCAAGATCTTATAAAGAGATTTGTGTCACTGAGTTTTTACTAAGCCGTGTTTTTTAAATGGTTGGTTGTTATTAAGATAATAAGTTCAATTGTGTATTTTTCTATATGCTTCTTGTTGGATGCATATACTGAATGCATCTTAATCTCAATGGATGTTATAAAGAAGAAAATTGGAAATTAAGTGTTTTAAAAATAAACTATAAAGACGGTTGTTTATTTTTACAGTGAAAACACATCTTTGGATAAATACTTAAATATATAACCCACTACCAATAAACACTGTTGTTTGGTGGCAGAGAGGGAACAGGTCAAAACACATACCTGGATTGTTTGGCTCTGGTAGACTTTAATTACGTGAAAACTGAAACTGTAAATTCCTTTTCTTGGTGCTACAAAGACAGACTCCAGTGTGAAAAAATTACCCACATTTACTAGGATCTACAAATAACAATAATAAATAACAGTAAATTATTACAATATTCTCTTCTGTAAGTAAAATAAGCTTCCTTCCTTCTATCCTTCCTTCCTTCCTTCCTTCCTCCCTCCCTTCCTCCCTTCCTCCCTTCTCTCCCTCCCTCCGTCCCTCCCTCCCTCCCTCTCTCCCTCTCTCTCTCTTTCTTTCTTTCTTCCTTTCTTTCTTTCTCAACAACTAGTTTAAGAAACCATAGAGAATAAAACATTGAGTTCTATTCCTTTCCTCTTTAGTGACTTGGTAAATGGATTTGTGTATTGGAAGGTTCTCTGTCTTTTAAATGGTATAGGAAAAAATTAAGTACCTGCTTTGTATGCCTGCCTCAATTTCCAGCAAGGCCCGATGGCTTTGGAAACATCTAGGTAACATGTGAGGGCTTATAAATATTAGCTTTACCTTGAGAGTCAGATAAAAGGCATCTACCATATATTTACATTTCCACCCTCTACAAGCCTTCGCAATGTCCAGAGGTGACGTTTCCAAGCCAGCCAATCGCATCCATGGGCTCTCTGCAGTCATTCCTGGACACATCAAACAGAGGCCTGGGCACTCCCGCCACCGTGTGACATAACTGAACAGTTGGTGCAGAGTGATCTGAACACCTGGCCCTCTTCTGAGCCTCTACCAAACCTCTCCTAAGATCCACGGCCATTTTTTTTCATTTCTACGCCATCTAGGCCTTAATTATAATATTTTGGCAATGACTCAGCCTTTGTAGGCTGCCAAAGAGTAGAGCAGGAATACGGACAGACTGTGAAATAGGTGGCCTTCTCGAGTTCCTCCCAGTCTTATCCTTATCTCCTGATCAATCATCTGCTCTTTAAGTTCAAGGGTCAAAAATGACAAGTGAAATAAGGCACTGTTTTCCAAGAAAACAACAATGCATTTTGTATTCCAAGATGTTCAGCCTGGTTCTACTGGTTATGAAATTAACTCTGAATTTCAATAAGTGACATCTTTAACTAAATTTGCAAATGTCACATAGGTAAGTCCCTTCCTTAGAGAAAAAGCAAGAGAATGTGCGTGTGTGTGTGTGTGTGTGTGTGTGTGTGTGTGTGTTTGGGGGCGGGGGGGAGGTTGTAAAGTAACCAGCATTTCTTCCATTTCCCTCCAAGAAATGAATCTATAGGTGGGATTCAAAAAAATCAGATGACCCTCTAGACACACATATCCCCTATATCAATGGCAATCTGCTACTATCTCTTTTAAACATTGCATTCTTGCCAATATTAATACATTTTCAAGCCGTCTGCATAATTTCCTAAAGACATACTATTACCTCTGAACAATGCACCAGAATATAGTGATGGTGAGGAAGATGTACCAGGCTCAACCCCTGACTTAAAATACACGTGCGGGTATAATTTTATTCTGAGATTTTACCTTCTTCCAAATAAGCATTGATTTCTTTCTCTGACTTGATGATTGATGATCTTTCAACAAGTCACCAGCTATGCAATAATCCCCAACAGAGGCTTTACAAAGATCTTTTTCAGGCACATTTAAAACAATTTGTGGTACTTAATAGGGACTTCCTGAATCAGACACAAGTAGCATAATTCATTAGCAGTAATGGAAATGGCTGATTAGTGTTGACTACACATAAGGCTGATGTTGACTCTACGTTGTAATTAGAGCATCCAGGCACATCGAGATTTATAACTAAATGTGTCTTGTTGTCTCTAAGATGCATGGCTCCCTGAACAGAAGAACAAACCTTTCTCCTCTTCTAATTGACGGAAAGGTCATTGAAAAGAATGTACTGTACAGAAGATAATGCAGTGTCCACAGTACTCCAAAATTTAATTAATATATTGAAATACAAACCAGGGGTGGTGCTAGACTTTATTTCCTTCAAGATGGAAAATACTGCACCAAAACCCCAGAGGAGCTGCTTAATTCTTTAAAAATTGTGGCTATCCGATAGTAAGCCCCAGAGAGGCATTCTCTGCCTTTCTCCAGCTGGAGAGTGCATTACTTAGGAACAATTAAGTAAAGAATAGAAATGTCACCTCATCCCTTCCCTGGCACATCCTGCAGTACCATTTAACCTGTACTCCTACACATGTGGCTTTGCATACAACTGTGAACTACACATGGCACCTTGGAATTAAGAAGATTTCAGGTGCTGTTAGGGTTGAATTAAAACGCCAGAGTCAGCTTTCAGTTTTAAGACTCCTTGCTAAAGCTAAGCTGATATCCTGGGGTTTCTCATTAGCCAAACCCCAGAGCTCCGTGTCGCTAAAAAGAAGCCACAGATTTTATCAGTACCTCTCCCATCCCCTACCTTCAACCTCAAAGTCTGTCTTTCCCCAGTAATTTGCAATTCTCTGAAAGGACAGGAGCTGGGGAAGGGAGAACCCTATGGGAGCTCAGCACAGTTGCCCAATTTCTTTTTCTCTCCTCCTCCGCAACTTTTCTCCAAGTACCAGGGAAGAGCTGTCCAATGCAGCGGCGCCTGCAACGTGTGTGGGGATCCCGGCAGAGGCAAGGTGGGCGAGGTCTGACCCCGGCCACCGCTGCTCCCCCCTCTGGCCACCTGCGAGATCTGTACAGTGTGTGAATCCCTGGAGCTCTCTTTGGAGAGAAGCTTCTCCACCTGGGAGACACAAATCATTCACCCGGCGTCCGCGAGGGTACCGCGAGAACGGCCTCGGCGGCATCTGCAGAGGAGTCTGAGCCAGGGGACCAAGCTCTAGCCAAGAGATTGCAAGGCCCAGGGACCAGATTCCCGCCAGCTCCTGCGGACCTGTTGCTGTTAAACTTGTCCTGAGCTCTTGCTGCCCGGCTCTGCACTCCCAGTCTCTCTCCCACCGCGCCAGCAGTCTCTTCTGGAGGCCAGGAGGGAATGGGGGCGAGGTCGTGGTGGGAGTGACAGTAGAAGTTTCAGACCCAGACATATTTGGGGAGGCGAGTGCTGAAATGATTCCCCATATCCCAGTCAGACCAGCTTAGCCTGAACAGGCAATCCCAGTCTGAGCTGCCCAGAGATCGCCCCCTCCCCCCACCCCCGGTGTCCCTCATCCCTTGGGGTCCGACCTGATCAAAGTAGATAATGCGCGTCTTGTTGCTCATCTCAGACGGCTCGTGGTTGGTGCTCCGCACCGCCGAGAAGGCGACCTTGGAGTTGGCGGCCCGGACCGAGATTCCCAGAGGGGAAGAAGAGGAGCCCTTGGAGTCCGTGGCTGGGTTCGAGTCGCACACCACCAGACACTTGCCCTCCAGCACGATGGGCTCCGTGTCGTTCTGCGCCCAGACGGGCAGCCCGGGCAGGGTGAGGGCCAGCAACACGGTCGGCACCACGGACAGCGCCCGGCGCCCGGAGCCCATGGTGAGCCGCGTGGGCAGCCGCAGCCGGCTGGCGCTTCTCCTCGCCCGCGTCGCCTCCTACCCCGGGACCCCGGAGCTGGGGAAGATGTCAGCGGCTAGATCGACAGCGCTGCGGGAACGGCGGCGGCGGCGCGCACACTTCCGCCGATTCTGTCGTTTGAAGTCAAAGTCTCCCCTCGCGCCCTCTCGCTGGCTCTGTTACCTTTGTCCTTTAAGGAGCTCATGCAGAACCCCCTACCCCACCCTCCTCCGCCCAAGAATCAGCTTTCTCTGGGGCCTCTGCACCCACCCTTGTTCCTAGACATCTAAAAGTCACCAAACCCTCACATTCACACCTAGAAGGGGAAAATGATGATAAATTCTCACTCCAAACCCAAACACCCCCAGGTGAACCACGGAGCAGTAAAAACCAAGGCGACTCAGAGAAGTCACGGGGCTGATGGGTGCCGAGCGATGCTGAGGTCGGTCCTGTACGCGTCTGGCTTGCGGCAGGGACGAATTACAGAGGCAGAAGGTGTCTCCCAGACTGAGAAGAACGCGAGGCTGTGTTCATGGCCAGGACTCTAGCGACTCCCACTTTCGCTTGGTCAAAAATTCCCCAAAGCTTGATGTCTCTCGGACGTCGGCAGGTAGGCAGTGGCTAGCCGGGTCCCCAGCACGGAAAGCACAAATTCGCGGGATCAGTTCCAGGGTGCAGGGCGGCTCGGCCGGCGGGGTCCTCTCCTGCCTCTGCCGCCCGCCCGGAGTCCCTGCGCACAACTTTCTCTGTCCTCGCGCAGCCGGGGAGAGCGCGAGGCGGGCACACGCGCGCTATTTATAGGAGCGCAGCTTCCGGCTGGGGTTGGCTTCTAGCTCAACCTGCGGGCTCCCGGAAAAGAGAGAGGAGTCCGGTGACCCCAGCGGAGCAGCTCCCGCCTTGCGTTTAACGCACTCTGGAGCAAGCGGGGCGCACAGAGCTGCTGGCTGCCAACGTCCGAGGCCACTCAGCCCCGGGGAGCGCGCGGCGCGGAGAGCGTGTGCCCAGAGAGTCCACAGCCCTCCGCTTGCCCCAGCTCCGCGCCTGCTCGCCTCCTCCTCGGTCTGAGCCGGCGGAGGGGGCTGCGGTTCTCCTCGCCCCTCCCCAGCGCGGGACTCCGCCGCCGAGCGCCCTCCCAGCGGAGCGCGGCGCCGCCAGACCCGGCTGCGGAGCCGGATGGGCGGCGGCGGCCCCGCGCGGCGCGCAGTCTGGGACCTAGGGACCGGCCGACGTCCCTACCGCGCCTGGCCCGGAGCCTGCCCCACAGAGCCCTGGGGCCTGGCGAGCTCTGGGAAGCCTCGGGGCGGACCAAAGCCTGTAGGGGCCGCTGGGAGGAGGTGCCTTATGCTTTCCGCTCTGGGAAGATGGGCCTCAGAAGCCGCCCGGGCGCGCCTTGCCACCCACACCGCGAATCCACCCCAGGCAAGGCCAGAAAAAGAGCGAGAGAGAGAGAGTTCACTCAGCAGGAATAAGTCCTCCGAAACCGTACCCCTAAAAACAGCCAACTCCACTCCTGAGGATACAGCATCTTTCTCCCTCTCGATGTGCCGCCCTCCCCTCTGCGCCACCCCACTGCCGTCTTGGCCTCTGATTGGCAAGATGTATCTCCCTCTTCTGCAGCCACCACTGGGAGCGAAGGGCTTGTCTCTGTCTGTGATCGGCTGCCTACACTTGGCCAAGTCTCTTGCCCTTCTGAGAGGACAGGACTCTGCGAAGGTCCCTCAGCCCTCCAGGTCTGTGATGCTTTGGGGTCATGTCACTCCTTTCCCAAATTGCTTGTAGACTTCCAGCTGCCAGAGGGCAGGCACGGATTCTTTAATCAAAACAGCATCCCCATGAGCCATTTGGAGCGCCTAGAAATGTATTGACTAATTATTAGTTGATGGGGTGTTTGTTGAGCAATGTCCCCCAGACGGATGGCTCCCTATTCCTTCCTGAATGAAGGACATCCTCAGTTAGCATGGGTTCAAGCCCCTCCACAACACAAGCCAGACCTGCATGTCCGGTCTTGTCCCCTCATGAGGTCCTTCGGGAGGCTGGGGTATTGAGCCGTGGGCACCACACTGCAGTTCCAATTGTTAAAATCGGGGATGCTCCTACTGGTTGGTATTTCCCTGGCCTCCACCTCCCTATAATCTTGCAACTGAAGAGTTGGTGCCTGGAGCCGTAGGGGCCTCCAGATTCCGCGGCAGTGGGGCTGGTACCAGTTCTGATTGGCAGGTGCTCCTGCTGTGCTATTTGTTACACTGTTGAATGTCACTACTCTAAACTATAACTAAAAAGGCTGAGCTGGCACCTGTTGAAGATGGCCTTTGCTGCACTTTGTAACTCTCCTCCAGCTCTTACCACAGTCTGCCTGGAAAGCAGCTGCAGTTTCCTCTCAGTAGATGCTGGTTCCTCTTTTTCTGCTACAGGGGTAGGAACTCTGCTTTCCTTGTCCAGGACAGCTGTTTAGTGACTAAGACCTGGGCTGTTCAATTTCAGGCTGGAAGAAGTTTGACTAAAAAGCCCCGTTGACTACAGAATTGTTAAATAGTCAATAAGCTATCTTCCCCCACCAACCCCAATATATTCTCTCTGCATCCTTTCGTTCTCTAGGTATCTTTCCTCCTGCAAGAACTGAGATTTAAAGAAACTTCTTCCTTCCCTCCTCTTTCCCTCACCAAAAGTACTCATTTTGTAGCCCCCAAATCCAACAGAGTGACCATATTAGGGACTCAATATTTGTGGAATGACGTGATGCTTCCAGACAGAATGTAATTATCAGTCACTCACCTTATAGTATAAACTAGTTTAAATGAATCTCTCTCAGCAAATTTAAATTTGAGGCCTTCCAGGTAATTGGAGATGAAAGTCTTGGTTCCTTACTAAAAAATGTTCCTCTATTCAGGGTGTTCTGAATATGTGGAACACTACATTTTCCGTCAACTCCTGTGAAGAGAAGCTATCTGATATCGTGAATCACAGGGTCCCGTCTCCCTTTCCCACCACGGCTGATTGAACAGGGATAGCCCCTGGGTTCCAGGGCTGTCAATCCATTTGATACCAGAAGCCCATGACTTGTGTGTCCTGATGCAGCCAGATGAGCTGGGGCTGCTAGATTCTCTGTCTCTAGGATCTGAATGAGACCCCAGGACGGCTTCCAGTGAGTACTGGGTCCTGCAGAGGAGAGGTCTGTAGTCTCCTCAATGGGCTGCCTGCAAGCTGAAGCAGAACAGCACGATGGAAGAGACAGGAGGACTGGCCACACTCGCAGACAGAAGCCGATTCCGGAGACTGTGCACTTCTGAGAGGTGGAGGGAGGGAGGGAGTGAACAGGGAATGTCCAGTTCATAATTCCTGCTCACAAGAGGTCCAGCAACTCTTTCTTCTCACCTTGGGTTTCTCGAGAGCCTCCTGTATCCTGGCAATAAAACTCACTTCATTGGGCTAGTTTTATTGTCCTTGCCATCTGGAATCCTCATTAGAACAATATCCCAGAAATCACATAAGCCCATGCATCTCCTGCCAAAAGACATGAACAAACCCAATCCCCTGCCGATGGGAAATGTTTCCCCAACATTTCGGGAAAGGAAGCATCACCTGCTCCCCGCCCCCTACTCCAGCTCCAGCATCCCCAGGAGAAAAGAAACAGGATCGAGCCCAAATTTCGTTCCAGCCACAGCACAGATCTGCTTCTTTCTTTCTTCTTTCCTTCTCTTTTTTTCAGTCGCAAGTGTACTATTAGAAAGCCTGGTTGAGACCCAAATGTTCCCCTTTTCTGAGATTCCCAGGTTGTGTTTGATGCCCAGGAACTTTGTTGCTAGACCTACAGCAATTTCACTTCTCTCCACTTGGGTTCAACTTAAAGTAAATTAGGAAAAGTAAGTTAGAATCTGAACTGGTCTTGCACGAGAAAGCGATACTCCCATGGTAAGTAAATTCCATGACTGCTCGTCTGACCACCCCTTAGAGAAACCAAGTTTCAGGCAAGCCCAAGACAGGAAAGATCCATGAGCAATTTTCTCTTTCTGAAGAAAATGTCTCAAAGAAGGCAAAGACAGACACACAAGGTATTTGGTTCTAAGGGCCTCACCTGAAAAACAGCCCTGTGGATGAATGAAAGAAGACTCCACACATCGTGTAGCAGGCAGAACACGTGTCAGTCATGCAGAAGGTGGAAAATCGCGAGAGAGAGCAGTGAGGCTCATATCCTACCCAGGCGAAGGCCCATGGGGTCACTTAATTACACTTCGCTCTCTATATTGATAGTTATCAAGGCAAGCAAATGCTATTCTTGAAGGGAGAGTAAGGAGCTTAAGGAGAACAAGGCTCTGTGAATGACCAATATGTGACCACCGGCCAGTCTCAGAGCAGTGTGGAGTCAATGCTCAGGACCCCCTCTGGAGACAGCCCAATTGCTGATGTGTTTTGCGGGAAGACGGCATTTGTGGGGAAAAGTAGCTGGATGATTTAAAAATCATTTTAAAGGATTTTATAATTTAAAAGTTGTTTGAGATAGTTCATCGACAAAGTCTCCTCCGTCACCACACTGGCCAACAAGGGATGCATCTAAGATGTCAGGGGAGGGTCAGACTTCTTGGTTAGGGCTGCAGACAGGTTTTGATGTCTCTTTTTGGCCTTCCCATAATACCCTATGCTTTCCCCAGTCATTATGTTTATCCCAATTTTCTGAACTTATTGATTTATTTGTTGTGTTCTCCATGGATTATCAACTACTTAGGAGCACAGGATTGAGCAGAGAGTCAATAAGAAAAAAAAAAAGTTTACCAAATAAAGTAACTTATCATTGCCCTTACTTCTCACAGGTAAATAATACACCATTTACTCACTATGATATAAGTGTGATAGGAAAAGTAAAATTCTTTCAAAAAATTTTAGGGGCTTGAAATGTTTAATCCACCCTTAGTTACTAAGAATAGAAGGCCAATGAGGCACAAAGCGGATTTATTGGAAGGACCCTATCTCACAGAGTCCAATGGCAGAACTGAGCCTTGGGAATGGAATGAAGCCTTGTGGATAACCCAAAACGTGGCCTCTGCTCTCCCTCTCCCTCTCCCTCTCGCCGTCTCTATCTCTATCTCTATCTCTATCTCTATC